ACTATTCATCCAACAGTGAATAATACCCAGCATATACAAAGAAACCAAACAACTCAACAACAACAAAAATACAAAAATTCCCTTTTAACAGTGGGCAAAGCAAAGGCATGAGTAGACATTTTTCAAAAGAAGACATACAATGGCCAAGAGGTATATGAAAAAATGCTCAACATCACTGATTATCAGAGAAATGCAAATTAAAACCACAATGAGATATAATCTTCCACCAGTCAGAATGTCTATTATTTAAAAGACAGAAATAATAGATTTCATTGAAGATGTGGTGAAAAGAGAATTCATACACTATTGGTGGGAATGTAAATGAATACAACTTCTACGGAAACCATTATGAAGATTTCACAAATAACTAAAATTGGAGCTATTATATGATCCAGTAATCCCAGTACTATGTATCTAGCTAAAGAAAAAAATTCTTAGAGCAAAAACATCCCTGCACTCATCTCATATGTTTATTACAGCACTATTTGCAATAGCAAAGCTATGGAATCAACTGTCTATCAACAGATGATTGGATAACAAAAATGTAGTATATATACACAGTGGAATCTATTGAGCCATTAAAATCATGTATTTTGCAGCAACATGAATGATTCTGGAGGTCATTATCTTAAGTGAAACAAGCCACACACAGAGAGTCACATATCACATGTTGTCACTCATAAGTGGCTAGTAAGAGAATGTGTACACATGGGCGTTAAAAGTGGAATTTTAGACAAGAGAGACTCCAAAGGGTGAGGGATTGGGAGCGGGTGGATGATGAGACACTACTGAATGGTACAATGTACACTATGCCGGTGGTGAATACCCTAAAGGCCTTTATTTGATCACTATCAATCTATACATGTAACAAAATTTTACTTGTACTTCATAATTTTATACAAATTATTTTAAAAGTTGGTTAAAAATTAAAAAAAATAAGTGTCTAGTGTAATTTAAGTGGTTTCTTTTCCCTTCCCCCTGCTTGCAGCAAGAGGATAGTCTTCTCTAACATTCACTGTGAGCATTAAGTTAGAGCTCTTGGAGGTAAAACTCACAAAAGGTTCCCCGCCACCCCCATTACTGGGTTCCCCTGAAGTTTTTAACTCTCAAACTTGACTATACTGTGCTTCCATCAATTCATCAGTAACAGTTCAGATTTTCATACTCTGGCAGTGATTCACAGGTTGGTTTCTGCTAACTGATTTCTGCTTTGGTAAGTTATGATTCTCTGTAACTGCATTTCTATCTCTATAATTTTGAGGGCAGTGATTTCCCTTGTGCCCTTACTTCTCGGGTGGAGTTGTTGATTTTTCAATGTGTTCAACCTTTTTACTGGTTAAAATGGAGTAGCAACTTCTAAGCTGCTTACATACTGAACTAGAAACTAGTAGTTTCTCTGCTAACTTATTTATTAAAAACAAAAATAAACTTCTAAATGTATACCAATATATTTTGACTTTCACTAAGAGTATATCTTGATTTATTATTTTTTAGTTCCCCAAATTAGATAACGCAAGCATTTCTATGTCGACATAAAATTTGGTGTCCTTTGTTCTTACACAGCTTTTAGAGGTCTTACAATCCAACAACTTAAATCCTCTTAAAATTCAGAGTAGTCGAAAAACTTTCTAAACCAGATATTAAAATAAATAGGACAAAATGACATAGCTATTTCAAAACAATATGTTTCTGAATAAAATGTTAAAAGTATATCATATATCACTGAATACATAAGTATCATTGCATTTAAAATCTGAATTATGTATTCAAGCAAATCCTGATATTTGAACTTCTACATTTTTTTAAAAGGACTAAAAAAGATATGTAATATTTATGCAGCCTTCATTAAAGTATATCTACAGTTGCCAAGGAGATGAAACAAAATGTCCAGGACCTTTTATTGTCTTTGTAGTCAGTGTGAATTGTTACTCAATTCATGATTCTGCATTACGAAAGACAGAAAATGGTCCAGTGAAGGTCCATTTCAAAATATATATATTTTATTTTAAATATAAATCCTACAAAATATGTCACATGTAAAGGTAAATAAACATATTTAATTATGACAGGTCATATATTTGGGAAAAATATTTTACAAAGCCTTTACTATCCTTACTTTAGAATGTTTCATTAATATATGAACCACTTAAGAATTTTCATGTCTATTTCAAAGATTTGTTCCTTCAGAATATACAATTTTTTTTTTGCTCAGAAACAACATACACACTTTGCCAATGAAGCAATAAACATTGTAGGTCACTGAATAATGCAGATTTATAATGGTTTCAGGAAGAATCCCTGGACATTGTGTCACCCCACACAGAATTGACAGCCTGGCAAATACAGCCCTTGCAATGATATTATTTTTATTTGTTTAACCGAAATTCTATTTTTGGTTTCAATCTCATACCATATGAAACACACATACACACAAAATAATCATACTAAATTTACTCTTAGGCTCAACAGGGAATAGATGGTGAAGATGCTTTTTGCAAAGTGAATAAAAATGTGATAAAAATATATCTACATTAGTTTAGCACAGGTAATAAAGCTCACTTTTGAATATGTAAGATTATTATGATATAAAATAATCAGAACAAAATTTAATATATAGGTAAGACAGTTATCTGCCAAAAACAAAATTATTAAACTAAATTAAAGTGAAGTTCAACTATATGTGTTGGTATAAACATAGTCCTATGCCATAAATACTATGTCAAAATACAAATGCCAACTTAGTGCTCTAAAGATCAAATTCACACTTCTGTGTGATTTTTCCAACATTACATTTCTAATTTTTTTTAACTCAAAAACACAACTTTTCTCTTCTTGTGGACATTTAAGAGAAACTTTAAAAATATGTTACGCTGAATACTGACTATATATACTATATATGCATATATAAATAACAAAAAATAATAACCTGAATTTTTTTCAATTCTGTATTTCCCCATTCACAATACAAACCAGGCACAGGTCCTAGGCTGAACTGTATATGGGGTAGATTTATTCTACCTCCTCTTTTTGTATAATCAGTGTAAGAACACAGTCTGTGGAAAGCACCAGGTGACCATAAGCTGGATTTTTGAAAGAAATTAAGGTCAGTAGTCATGTGCCAATTTTTTTCATTTAGAATAGGATCATTCATTTTCATCTACATATGTACAAGAGCTAGTCAATACTTAAGCCAGAAGAAGCGCAAACTCACAATAATATTTTAGGGTCAATCTATTTCTATATTTTAACAACAGCTACACTTTGAATGTGTTTCAAAAGCAAGCATTCATTTATAAAGGCTCATAGTGGTATAAAAGGCAAGAAGGGAAAGATTTTGAATTCTCATAATCTCCGTGAGCTGCTCCAAAGTCATTTAAAAGGAAATAAGTTTCATTAAAAAGTATTTTTCTTAAAATCTGTTCCCGTTCCCACATGTAATACAAATAAGGATACTGGCATTCTGGCATTTTGGGCGTGTGTGTGTGTGTGTCTGTGTGTGTGTGTGTGTGTGTGTGTCTGTGTGTGTTTGTAAGTGGGGTTTGGAGTATTAGTATTAAACTCATAAGCTGAAATATTTCCATCATTTATACCTGAAGTTGAAATTCAGGATGGAACTCTCAACTCCTTTTCTGAAGAATGCTTTAGGATTTACAATATGAATATTATTCTCCAGAGTTAGATATTTGCTGGCTCCAGAGAATTTTACCAGCTTTTTTCACAGCTTACAAAAAAAGTATCTGAAAAAAAAGGCCACAAGGCTTTACACTGTTGGTAATTTATAATGAAAAATAAGCAAAATACTGAGAAAATATCTGTAATTAATGTGCTTAGAATGGGAAGCTCAAGAAAAAGAAAGAAAAAGAAAGAACTGTATATCTTTGGCAGAATATGCCCTTGAACAACACTGGTGAAAAACCTAGTAAAACTGCACATCATCTGGCTTTTTTGTTCCACTTATTAATAAAATAAAAATACATAAATTATCTTTATTTAAGTAATCAAGAAATTTAAAAAGTGAAAACGATCAAAGATAAATCATATATTATTCTAAACCAAATCCACTTGACAAGGTACATTTTAAATAGTAATTTTTTCTACTACTGTAATAATAGGTTAGAATACTATTTTCAGGAAACTATGCAAATGTTGCCACACTAACAATGCAGTTTATTTTCAAACATAATTAACTGCCTAAAAATTTATCAGATGCAACATGGCACTCTTTTTCAGAATTTTTTTCATTTCCTTTTAAAATATTTTTAGAATAAATCGTATCAGTATACATTTATTTTCTGTTTCATTAAATGATTTTCTTTATGGGAAAGACTTGCTTGAAATTATTGCTATTTTCAAACATTAATCTCATTTTATAAAATGTTATTTTATATTTAAAGGCTAAGATAATTCAAAAACATTATTGGCCAGCTGTGGTTGCTCACACCTGTAATCCCAGCATTTTGGGAGGCTGAGGTGGGTGAATCACAAGGTCAGGAGTTCAAGACCAGTCTGGCCAACACGGTGAAACTCTAGAGGTCTCTACTAAAATTATAAAAAATTAGGTGGGCATAGTGGTGGGAGCCTGTAATCCCAGCTACTTGGGAGGCTGAGGCAGGAGAATCACTTGAACCTGGGAGGCAGAGGTTGCAGTGAGCTGAGATCACTCCACTGCACTCCACACCGGGTGCCAGAGTGAGACTCTGTCTCAAAAAACAAACAAACAAACAACAACAACAACAACAACAACAAAAAAAAAACACCATTATTAAGGACTCATCTGAAATTAGGATAGGTAAAATGCCCTTTCTTCAATATGTAATTATAATTACCCTTAGTATATTTTTACTTCTGCTTTAAAACTAGAAAATAAGTGTCTTATTCACTCTTAGAATTTGGCAATGTGAAAATGTCCACAGTATAAATGACATAGAAATATAACTGTATGAGAAGCAAGGCAGAAAAAAAATTGCAGGAAATTGTAATTACAAAGAAATATATCTTACTCTTTGTAGTCCTTCATACCAATCATCTTGCTCAAACCAATTTGAAATGTAAGCCATCCAAGCCATAGGGTGTTTCTACTTTAATCAAGGCAATTGGAAACTCAGCATCAGAATAGCCGGCACCTAAAGTAACAACAATGTGTTTCAACCAAACAAGATTTACCAAAATCTCCCTTGTGAAATGATGCTCAGTACAAAAGACTAGAACTGCACAAATATTTCAGCTGAAACATTTTTAAGGATTTACAAGTAATAGTATCTGTTAAAAGAATGAAATAAAAGTCTATATTCAAATAAGAAAAAAATCAATAATAATGTTGTTGGACAGTACCAGAGAATGCTGTATCAAATATTTTATTAACCTTTCTGTTTACATCCTTAAAAAACAATCTTAGATTTAACTTTTGTAAGAAATAGAGAAATAATTTCTAAAAGTTACCAAGTTAAAAATAAGGAATCCATAAAAATCGCAAAATAGGCTGCTGAAGATGAGATACATTTTCAACCTCAGGAACTGGAAGTAAAGCTAGAGAGAGAAAGCTTCTAAGTTAAAAGGTATACAATGACAAAGCCAATCCTATAATACTTGTGTTTGCTTCCAGCCCCATACTTGAGAGTTAAATAATTTTACATTTAATTGCTATCCACCTAACTGCATCAAAAGTTTAAAGACACCATTTAATATAGTGCTAATATGTTCAACAGAGTCAATCAAAATCACATGAATGTAATTTAATTTTAGTTTTACTCATTTTTAGAAGAGATTATTTACTAGCAACGATGACTAAGATATTTCTTGCTACACTGGAGAATATTTGGACTTCAAAATATCCTCTATAAAGTTTAGATGTTTAACCCAACATATGAAAGTTCTAAGCGGTCTCTTCTTCAGCAAAGACAAAATAAAGGAAAGAAGGACAAAGGGATGAAGGATGGACAGAAGGAAGTGAGGAAAGAAAGAAGGAAGAGAAGAGAAAAAGAGAAAATGAGTGAAATGACAGAGAATTAAGCAACAAAAGAAAAGAAGGAAAGAGGGGAGTGGAGGGGGAAGAGAGAATTACAGTTTTTGTAATTTGAATGTTTCATTCTTCAATACCCAAAAAGTAAGATAGCTTTTGTTCTGGCATGGAAAGATACACTTGCATGAAATATAATTATCACTGCAGCTAGTTGAGAACAGCTTTATCTCCATTGTGATTCCTTACTCTCTAGAAGTACGTTCAATAATACCTGAGTGAAGCCTCAAGTCAAAACGCTTGGGAATCGGTTCTTACACGTGCAAGAAGCTCCAGGATTGGCAAAATCTCTTGCTTCACTTGTTTACATTTCAACGACTTCCTTGAATCTGTTACCTTGGCTATCCACCCTGTACTTTTAGTTTCCAGAAAGCCCCTTGTTTTGCTGATCTGCTCAGATTTTTAATCGCCTGCCTTATCCTGTTCTCTGGATTTGTGCCCTCTCCATCGTTGTCTCTGTTGTCTATTGCTTATCATGTTTTGATTTGCAGTTCTTTAAGTCCTGCCCTCAGCTTTTTTACTCTACTTTGAACTTGTATCTAGTACTGGCCCGACAACACTACCAACCTCATCCCTGCTTCAGTTATTCCAGTGTGTCTCCCATAATACAACCTGCAGGCCATACCAAGCTCCTAAACTCCATTTGGAGCTATCTGCCGATCCAGATCTCTCAGCCCTTTACCTGATAAACCTAAGTATCTCTTTCAAGTAAGGTTTTGCTTTCTACCACCCCAAATATTCTTTCTCTTTCATTCTCCATTTCAATGACTGTCATTATACTCAAGAGAGTAACCTGAGATGAAAATATCAAGTTATCTTTGATTCTTCCATCAACCTTATCTCCTCCTACTACTACATTTGATCATCAAGTCTTATCCAATTACTTTGGGAAAAGCATCTTCAGAAGGCCCTTATCTTCATCACCAATGCCACTACTTTTAATGAAATCCTTCATTGTGTCTTGTACAAACTAATGCAATAATTTACTTACTGTTCTCTGCTTTCAATAATTCCCAAATACATGTTGCCCTTCTATGCTTTCAAGACTTTTTGCCTTGAAGCTTTTAAATGTTTTGCCCAGGCTGCCCCTTTCACCTTTTCCTGAGTGGTGAGCACTTGCAAGTTTTTCAGGATTGAAATTAGATATCTCTTTTAAAGACTTTCTCAAATCCTCCAAATCTCTTGTCTGTGCTCCTTCATATCTATATTTGTAGGTATTAGGTAGTGATTATTTTTGTAGATATAAATTGTGAGTTCCCCAAAGGACCAAACCTGAATCATCTTTGTATAGAAGATACAAAATGTGTGTTGAATGAACTGACAGATAGATATGCAGTGCTATGAAAGTTTGTCACCTAGTGGCAGTTCACATGAACTGAAGGCACATGTCTCAACTGAAACTTTAAGGAAATGTATCTAAATCTAAGTGAAATGGGATTACTATCTAATTCCTTGTAGGGAAGTAGCTAAACAAAATCACTTAAGAAATTGTTTTTGGTGGTTTTTTAAGAGTAAAATAAAACTTGAATTAGTAAAAGTACTTTGTAATCATGTCATCACCAAGAATGTCTTTATTATACTATATTACAAATCTAGTGTGAATAAAATACCTTATTTATAGAACATATAATAGTTATTTCTTGTGTCCTGATACTTTTCCATGAGCACTGTTTATCATATTTTCAAGGAATAATAAAAGCAGGATCTTTCACATTGTGTAATCTCAGATTAAATGTTATCTTGCATAAAAATATTTTTTTGTTGTACTCCAGGTATTTTGATTATATGAAAGTAGATGGGATCTGGTTCATTTAGTATAAGAATGGTAAATAGGTTTTAACTCTCACCCCTCCCTGGGGTGCAGAGTTGAAACCTTTAGCTGACCTCAAAGGGGAAGCATGTCATGATCACTCAGCCGTAACTGAGATAAAAAAAAGAAACTTTTGGGGAAATTTATTACATAACTTCACATCTCTCTATCTATGTCTATGGGTCTAATTACACTGATATTTCATTTAAATCACCCATTTGACTTACTTTAGTCAGAAAATTCTTACTACCTATTAAAATTAGTGATGAAGGAAATGACAAAAATCAAATATTATCTATCACTATATAAAATAAAATAAATAATAAAGTAGTTTTCACCGTCAGAAAACTTATTGCAGGCATTGAACAGCCAAGCACATAAACAGTTTGTGGTCTGGGTATTGGTCCTGATTTTTTTATACCCCTCTTTGCATTAATGTCTTCGCCATAGCTCATCACAGGCATCCTTTGCATCCCTGCCTGTTGTCTTTAAATTTGCCACGTAATTTGCTGTGCCCAATGATATGTGGGCAGAAGTCATGGTTTTCCAGTTCCAAGCCCTGAATGGATGGCTCATTTCCATTCACAACCTTATGCTTCTAACATCAACAAGAGAAGAACACTCCATAGCTACCCCACTGATCAAGAAGCATAGGAGACACATGCAACAGAGCGCCCCCAGACAAATCTCAGACCTCCAGTGAGAGGCAGAGTCACTTAGCACAGCAAAAGTTAAGTCAGTAAAACACCAGTGCAATCAGAGTCCTCCCTCTGCCTTGGCAGCAGATTGGTTCCAGGGCCCCACAGACATCAAAATCCTCGGATGCTCAAATCAGTTACATAAAAAGGCATAGTATTTGCAAATAACCTATGAGCTTCCTCCCATGTACTTGAAATCATCTCTAGATTACTTGTAATACCCAATACACTGTAAATTCTACATAAATAGTTGTTTTGTTATTTTTGTTTAAATTTTTAATTTTTATGAGTACACAGTAGGTGCATATATTTATGGGGTACATGTGATGCTTTGATTCAGGCATACAATGTATAATAATTGTATCAGGGTAATTGGGGTAGCCATCACCTCAAGCATTTGTCATTTTACTCTTTTAGTTATTTTGAAATATAAAATAAGTTATTGTTAACTGTAATCACCCTGTTGTGTTATCAAATACTAGGTCTTATTCTTTCTATCTAACTATGCTTTTAACCCATTAACCATTCCCACTTTTTCTCTCCTTCCTTGCTATCCTTCTCAGTCTGTCCCTGGTATCCAACATTCTATTTTCTAACTCCAGGAGTTCAATTGTTTTAATTGTTAGCTCCCACAAATAAGTGAGAACATATGACACTTCTCTTTCTGTGCCTGCCTTTTTCCATTTAACATGATGTCCTCCAGTTCCATCCATGTTGTTGCAAATGACAGGATGTTTCTTTTTTATGGCTGAATAGTACTCCATTGTGTATATGTACCACATTTTCTTTATCTATTCATCTGCTGACAGACACTTAGTTTGCTTCCAAATCTTGGCTATCATGAATAGTGCTGCAATAATAAACAGTAGTGCAGATATCTCTTCAATAGACTGACCTCCTTTATTTTGTGTATATACTTAGGGATTGCTGGATCACATGGTAGTTCTTTTTTTTTTTCTTTTTTTTTACAAAGTCATTATTTATTTATCTATTTATTTATTTTTTGAGATAGAGTCTCACTCTGTCACCCAAGCTGGAGTACAGTGGTGCAATCATGGTTCACTGTAACCTCTACCTCCTGGGTTCAAGTGATTTTCATACATCAACCACTTGAGTAGCTGAGATTACAGGGGTGTGCCACCACGCTCAGCTGATTTTTCTATTTTTTTTTTTTATAGAGACATGGTTTCCCCATGTTTTCCCTGCTGGTCTTGAACTCCTGGCCTCAAGTGATTCACCTGCCTTGGCCTCCCAAAGTGCTGGGATTCCAGGTGTGAGCCACCACCAAGCCCTGATAGTTCTATTTTTAGTTTGTTGAGGAACCTCTATACTGCTTTCCAGAGTGGTTGTACTAATTTACATTACTACCAACAGTGTACAATAAATTTCCCTTTCTCCACATCCTCACCAGCATTTGTTACTGTCTGTCTTTTGGGTATAAGCCATTTTAACTGGGGTGAGGTGATACTTGCTTTGTGGTTTTGATTTGCATTTCTCTGATGATTAATGACAATGAGAATGTTTCTCATATACCTATTGGCCATTTTATGTCTTCTTTTGAGAAATGTCTACTCAGGTCTTTTGTCCAACCGTAACTGG